ATTATCCACATATGTGTGCTTCAATTTTTCTACACATGTGGGCTTGTGCTTCATTTCTTCAATGGTGTGCTGAAGGAAAAGAATGGGCCTGCAGCCCCATTTTGACTCAACATATATCATTTTGAATTGTTTAATAAACATTACAAATATTGCAGCCATAATATATGATTTTAGTATATTTTATTAAAGGCAATAAATTACCTATTATTAAAGGATGGTATATGGGTTAGTATATAGGTTTCACACGTTTTTTGTGTGGAGTATATAGGATAAAATCATATTATTGCAAAGTTTTTTATTTGTGTTGATCAACGATTACAAATATTGCATTCATAATATTTGATTTGAGTATCTTTTATTAAAGGCCAAAATTTTCGTTTTTTTGTGTGGGGTATATAGGATAATATCATATCTGTATATTATTGCCAAGTTTGTATAGATTTCACGTTCTTTTGCTTGATATTTAACAAAAAGAAGATTCACTAAATATCAAAAACCTAAAATAAAGCCTAAAAGAAACACGTAAGTTTTCAATACATAAAAAAGCTATAGATTCACTAAATATCAAAAACCTAAAATAAAGCCTAAAAGATTCACACATAGCACTACAATATATGAATTTCTAAATTTTGTAGATCTTTAACAAATAATTACGGTATTTGCTGATATTTTCCGCACATAGCACTACAATATGTGTATGTTTTGACAATTTGTAAAAATATTTTTCAGTTGCAAAAATATTTTTACATCACTTATTTCACAATTTGTAACCAATTACATCTGAATGAAACCTTACGATGCTCGGACCACCACTTGCAAACGACATAATAATGCAGGGAAGAATCAAGAATGGGGACTACGAAGGCAGAAGACGGGAAAATAAGGAGCAGATGAAAAAATTGGAGAAGAACAGAAGAAGATGAGAGAGAGAGAAATTAGGGAAAACTTTAATAAAAGTCAAGAAAATTAGACTGACGTGTCAAGAGACACATCAGGGAGTACTTATGCAGTGGGAAAGACACGGGAGAAGGAGCATTTTTCAATTTATTATACACGTGTCAATATTTGATGGCATGTAAATATATGATAATGCTCCTCTACCCATGGTGGACACATGTTAATATATCAACCGCTTATGTGGCATGCACACATTGATGATGTTAATATGTTCAAAAAAATATATCATCAGTATGTGCATGCCACTTAAGCGGTGAACATATTAACATGTGTCCACCGTGGGTAGGTGAGCATTACTCTATAAATATAAATCTGAAAGTAATAGTTGTTATATTTAAGATTTGATTTTGATGGCATGTAAATAAAATAATAAATACGGTGCATGTAAATAAAATAATATTTTTATTATAAAATCTATTAATATATAAAAAAGAATGATATATATCTATATATTAAAAGAATGAATTCCCGCCAATATATGTATATATAATCACCCGCCAATTGTCTTTCCTGTTTTTTTGGTAGATAGGGTAGTCGACGGCTGATTTGATTTATTGGTATTTATTGGGTAGATAGGGTAACAAATCGACTGATTTATGATATTTATTAGATAGATAGGGTAACAAATCGACTGATTTATTGGGTAGAATTTGTTATTCCCTTTCCTGTTTTTTTGGTATCAAAATAAATATTTGTAATTATTTTTGGTATCAAAACTAATAATTTTCAAATTGTGTGTAATCAAATATTTTTAGATGGAACACCATAAATTCGGTATGATTTTATTAAATTAGACTTATAATATTTTAGATATTTGAAACAAATTGTTTAGACATTTTTTTACATATTCGTCTATATATATACATATACACATACACATAATTGATGTTAAATTTAAATATATGTAGACATGTTTTATTTACAAAATAGTCTAGAATTATTTTTTTTTGCACAATGTTAAATTCAAATGTTTTTAGATATGTTTTTCTTCTAAAATTATTTAGAAAAGTTGTAGGTGATTTCACATCTTTCAAAAATAATGTAGAAAAATTTGAATACTATTACATATACTAATATAATATTTTAGGTGTTCTTAATATTAAACATACAAATTTTATATTCTCTTATACAAAATAATGTAAATTTTATATTCTATTATACAAAATAATTTTACATTGTTTGACCCCGAATCTTTAATTTATAATTATTAAGTGTTGTTTATTCTCCTCTTTAATTTATAATTATTATTTTTTTCTTCCTCTTTTTAAATAGGATCAATAGTAATTCTCACTTCCGCCATTGAGTGTCTCAAACTCGAGATTTATTTATAATATTGTTAATTTAATATTGTTATCGCGCATCGCACGAGGTGTACACTAATTTATTAGAAAAGATAAGAATAAATCAAAAAGAAAATTCAATTCCCGCCTAAAATTTTAGATTACTAAACTTAGTAAACGTTTTTTAAAAGAATTGTAAAATCCAGCTCAGTTAAATAAGTTTGAATTTGTCTCTTTCACATTTGGTAAATATTAAATTAAGCTCACATGTAAATCGGTATTGGATTGCATGTGTATAGACATACAGAATAGATTTTGTTTTACTAAAACCACCTATCTACAAATCCGCATGAAAATAATCTCACAAAATTCAATTGGATATAATATCATTTTTTTTGGGACACTTTCAAATATTTATATACCAATGGAAATAACCCAATTTATATGGTTTCCTCAGTCCATATCTGTATTTTTTTTTTTCACTTTCAGATTCATATACGCATGTGCCAATTTTTTTTCCTTTTTTTTCGTAAAAGGTCAACTTAACTGAAATTTATATATCATCATCCTTCGTATGTATAATTCACGAATGCGCTGAGCCTACGTGGCTGTTTCTGGTGCTTTGGAATCCTACTTGGCGAAGAATCATGCTTCGTAATTATGTTTGGACAAATAATATTGATATATTAATAATTAATAATCTAAGTTCGGACATTCCATAAATATTATTTAGCTAACTTAAGTATTTTAATATCACTTGTACTAATATAACCCTCTAATTCTTTGTAATTTTACATAGTGAGACACTAAGTGACTAATATATCCATGACTTTTGATTTTCTTCCTTCAATTAACTATTGAATTGTAAATGTATTTTAAAAGTTGATAACTTTTATATCTTTTATCGGTTTTACATATATAATATATCAAATACATCATCTTTTGATAATCTTCGATTTGACATCCGTATTGTATATATGAAATAAATAAATTGTATTTATTTTTATAATAATAAAAAATAATAATATTTATTAAAATTCATTAGAAAAATAAAATTATTTTTTAATTGATATATTTTATGTTTAATATAGTTATATGTTGTAAGTTAAAAAAATATTATAATATAACACAAGTAAATCGTACAAATAAAAAATGTCATACTAAATATATAATAATATATATATTTTTTAAAAAAAAAAACCGATGATGACTAGTCAAAACCCACGGAGCGGATTTGGTAGACCGCCTATTTAATGTGTTGATAGGCGAAACGACTGAGCGCCTCTGTCAAATCTTTTCGGAATCCCCCTGGGGTTTTTGCTGACCCCTGGTACCTTCACCTGAAAAGAGTGGCGTTGGAAAGAACACACCGTAGGGGCCTTCAGACTATCAGTAAGAGCCAGTCTTACTCGTGCACTGCACGGAACTCATACTAGTAGTAAAATAATATCAAAAACCTAAATAAAGTCTAAAAGAAACACGTAATTTTTTAATACATAAGAAATCTTATAAGCCGTACACATCATACCATATAAGCCACCCACAATATAACAAATCAGATTACATTTAGTTTACCAACACAATACCATAATATACTTCTAAAATTAGTTAATATATTTCTAAAATTAGTTAATAGGATTTTTTTTAGATAAATAGTTACTATTTTAAAAATAATCAAATCTTTATATCATATCTATATATATATAATTACTAGCTAATGTATTTAATAAAATATTTAATAAAACCTATTTTCATTTCCCTCCAAAAGGAGTTATATTTTTTAAAATTAATTACTCACTAATCTGTTAAAACCGTTACACCTTAATATATATATTTTATTATTTACTTTTTGGATCAATTACTAAATTGATTTTAAATATGATAGCAAAATATTCAAATGTGTAACGGTTAATGTTGGAACTTAAAGTTGATTGACACATTCAGAGTTGTAACCGCTATATTTGGTTGCATTGTTGGAAGAAAAATATGATTGACACGTATTTTTTTTCTTCTAAAAATCAGAAACACCAATAATTTTTTTTATTTATGTTGATTTTCTTAATATATGCCACAAATATATAAATTATTTTATTCATGTTACTAATGTAAACATTGCATGGTTAAAATAAAATTTAAATCTCAATTAATTTTGATTGATAAAAATAACTTAAGAAAAAATAATAATTTTTATATGATAGAAGTAAATGTCTAATTAATAAATACAAACAAAAACGTGTTTTATATCTGTGCAAATGCACAGGATCACATACTAGTATAGCGCTATAATTGGACAGCAAAACACTCTAGCACTGCCTTTTTGTCTTCCCCATTGTCAGATCCACCTCCATGATACAAGGTTCCATTTCATACACAAAGCATATTCACAAACTAAAGCATATAATTTCCGTTCTATTTCTCACGAATTGTCAGATCCACCTCCATGATACAAGGTTCCATTTCATACACAAGGCATATTCACAAACTAAAGCATATAGTTTCCGTTCTATTTCTCACGAGTAAGTACCGACTTGAACGTATGAAGTTTATGCGTCGGGACCCCTCATGAGTGTGACTCGTCAATGCAACGAAAATGCTAGGTAACGGAATAAAATTCACACCCTGAAATTTTTGGATCATGTACAAAGAATTTAATCTCGTGACCGCAAATCTTTCCACGCCTCGGGACAAAGAATAGTATAGACAAAAGGAAAAAAGAAGAACACAAGTATAGAACCCCATTCCTATGTACACAAAATTAGATACCTACACATCCTGCGAGTAATCCAATAGAGCAAACTTGACATGCAAACCGATTTTGCCGCCATCTGTCACCAACTTAGCAGCCGTGACAAGCCAATGCCCAGGGACGTCGTACGGCCCGCGCGAGACCTCAGCAGTCTCCACGTACTGGAGCAGCTTCGCAGACCGAACCGGGACGGGTGGGCCGTCCGGGTACACCCCTGAGTTGAGGGTAGCCGCCTGGGGCTGCTGCTTTGTGGGGTCCGCTACTGACCGCTGGGTGAACGTGAAGGTCGTGCTAAGATTTGTAAAAAAACTCGACTTTTGAGAGGATTCGGGCACGGAAGCCCATTCTGTCTTGCGAATGCTGCAGTTGGGTAAATGAGTGTAGAGCAGTCGGAGGTGAAGGACCTTCCTCGGCCATTTCCCCTTGATGACGAGCTGTGCGCCAGTCACGATGAAAACGCCCCCACTGGAGGCTACCCAGGAGTCATCGTGCTTGACCACGGACGAGCACACGTTCGAGTACTGTTTCCAACGGACAGGTTCTAAGAACTGCTCGCACGACTCATAATCATCCGAGCCCCGCCACTGGGGTTTTCGTGCTGTGGGAGTAGCTGGCATGATGCTTGGGTGGCTCGAGAGATGCTGCACGTGTATCGCCAGGCGGTTGCTTTTCTTGCCTTCCAGGTAGAGACGAAGACCGGTGATTGGTTTTTGATCGCTCGTGACCTGCACCACAGCCATCACGCCTCAGAATTTACTCAAAACACTTGCAGTTGCTTAATGTGTGAAATTAAAAGAGTAGATTGTTCGGAAACCATCTCAAGACCCAGGACGAGTTTTCACAGGATGAGTTTTCACAAGGGTGCACAGTTACGCAATAATAAACTTTAATTCATGGTTTTCAAAATCACAAGTAAAGGTTCAGTGGATTGAATAATGATTTTGTGCTTACTATTCATCGGACCAACTGTTGTTTATCGAGGATGGACTGAAGTCAATTGGCCATTAAACTCACTAATTTAAAAGGGGGTAAAAAAATAACAGTTTCACTAGCGTACAAGTACTTAAACTGGAATCAACATGAAACAAACACGCTGAATGTGACGACCAGTGAAATCATGAGATGCTCAACTAAATTCATCTTTACATTGAAAAAAGAGATCATGTATACAAAAGTCCCACAAGTAAACTTGATTACTTCAGGTGTCTGAAGAAAATGTGCCCTTCCATGAGCAAACATGATTTATGAAGATGTTAACATTAATTATCCATGCATATCATGACCAAAACATTATATATTGGCCATTGACATTAAGATCATTCGGAACTGATGAGAGAAACCATAATCCATCATCAAAATCATTCCGAACTGAGGAGAGAAGCCATAATCCAAAATCAAGAATAACATCACATGCATATTTACTCAATGCATCATTATTAGATTGAAAAGAAACTGTGCATACCTGAGTGGAGCTGACATAAACTTTTGGACCTAAGAAGCTAAATTGTATAGAAGGGAATGAGGTCATCTTCCTTTGATGCCGAAGGGGCAACTCACAGAACAAAGGAGCCCACTGACTTGGAACTTGAAATTCCAGAAAATATGGCAAATCCTCTAGAGTGGGTTTATCTGAAAAAAGAAGCATGCATGTTAAAGCCCATAAAAAACGAAAAAATGATGTCATAATTAATGCAGAGACGTGTTTACTGGTTAGATAGACAAAGATATGGGGAATAAAGATGAGGAAATGTAACAGTAAACATTCAGGTCAGAGAATCTGAAATCATACATCGTAGATACAAGTTAATAGCATGGCTAAGGTAGCCACTCCCTGGTATTCCATTCAGAAGAGAGGTAATTGGTACAAATTTAAAAAGTACAGCTTCGGGGTTAGTTGCCATGGTCTGGAGCCACCTGGAGTGACTTTGTGAAAACACGTCACCTCCTCTTTTTGACCAAATAAGGGTGAGTCCCTATGAAAATTACAACATATAAATTACTACATGTATAATAATTTAATTATACCAGCAAGTAAGAAAGGATGAGATGAAGTAACTAACATCCTTGCTTGATGTTTCTGTGATGCTGGTAAACTGCATCGTATGTGCCTGTAGCATACGGCTGAACACCTCTGGAACCTGCATATTTTTCCTGATATTACTATAAATGTAAATGTTTAACTAAAACAAATCAAAGGATGCAAAAAGACCTAACCTAAAGTCCTTATGTTCATACACACCTTTTTCTTAGTATCTTTTGCCATTCTCTCCATTATAGGACTATTAGCATCAGAGAAAAGGCAATCTCCAAGTTCTTCCAAATATCCTTTGAGTTCAGCTGGTGGAATTGGAGAAGATGGCTTCTGTTTAACACAAAGCAAATCCTGGCCTCCAACTGCCATTCCCACAACTATGTGTGTTCCATAAGTTTGGATAAATCTGGATTAATAAGTTCACATGAGGGAGTTGATGTTAGCGTGCAATTAAGAACAACTTAACCTATACAAACCAGATTTTTGGGTGACTTCTTTTTCATTTAATTAGCTTATAACCATGAACGATGTTTGAGAGGAGGATGAAAACTTAAATAAATTAATGGAGAGTGGAGACCAACTTATCCATATAGGTGAATCAACAAGGGATAGCTATAATGAAGTAATTTTAACTAAGTATTCGAAATAAAAGTTTGCAGGTGTAATGGTCTTCATGCCAAAATAAAAGTGAGTTACAAATACATTAGACATGTACCAGCAATGAATTAGGATGATTACTAACAAATATGTTTCTAGCCCACTAAATTTGCATAGCCTTTGGTGTAACTGTCCACTAACGAAGACACCCTAATGAATCATAATTCTATCCTGTTCCAAAAGACACTATTATGTTACTGCGAGTGATGCTGATCTGAGAAAATTTGAAGAACATTATACATAAAATGGGTTTTGGAGTGTAGATGTGTATATGAGCAATTGAAGCAGTATGATGTGTATATGAGCAGTTGAATAAGGGCGTCTCCCCGCTCAAAAGCAGTTATCAAGGTCAGTAGATGACAATGAAAACAGTATGATGCTTGGGGTTCTCTTTTGTCAATGGCCTTCCATCATAATCAGCAGTTAGCCACTAGAAGTTAGCGGCTTTTGTTAATTTTATGACCGGCAGATTGTAATCATTGTTTTGACCAGTGGATAGGTTTAGCTATTTATAAAGAAAATGAATTATAAAATTAGTGGTTTACTATTATTAACACTTCTAAAATTAGAGTGTACATTGCTTCGAAGAGTATTTGTATATTTTATACTTTTCTTTATGTTTCAATTACCATTACCTAAAATAAAATATTCAACTTTTTTTTTAAAGCAGATTAATAAGAATACAATAAAAGAAACAAAATTTTGATATCTGAACTTTCGACACAAGGAGCTAACATTTTTAAAACATAAAGGAAAATAATGTTTTTGTGTAACAATAAATTGGTTTTTCTATTGTATTTATTTATCTGAATTAAAGAAGAAATAAAATTCAAAGAAAAGATTTACATCAATTCTGGATACGCAAATTAGTCCATCAAGATATTTAATGATCAAAAGTATCAACTGCAGGTATTTACAGCTTCTTGAACTAGTTAGGCTTTCCTTCTTTCATTTTTTTCTGTTTTTTCCCTCTCATCCCAGCCACGCAAGTCCCAAAAATAAAAGATCAAAACAGCCAATTAGATACAAGATAACAACTAACTAGCACTCAATCCTCAAATTCCAAATGCTCCAATGCAGCATTAAATCTTGCCTTTTCTCCAATCCATAGAGTTGAGCAACAAGCAACGAAATATGAGTTCAGATGTTTTTATCTGGTTAAATCAGCCAAAATAGCATTTTGTCCATGAACACTTGACAACAAACATGGCCAACATATGGCATGTATAGCATGAATGATTGTCTGGGCTTAAAGGTGAAATAAATGTTTATGGATGGTGATACAACCATGGTTAGCTCGACAGTTAGGAAAAGTAGAAACGCTAAGAACCAGTAGAAACAAGGCTAAACAGAATCAGCTAAATGGAGATAGGCAGAAAAGTTGTCACCAATAAACTTTAGTATCAGACGGCTTTACAACCTAGTATACGAGAAATCTACAAATCAATCTAGTGGTCCTTAGTCATGCAACCAGACCTTAACGCACTTGTGACCAAATTTCCAGAAGACGAATCATAGCTATCTTCGCAAGTATTTAATCATCATATTAAGTTCTAATTACAGGACAGCTCCAATAAGAAGGATAAGAAAAGGAAGGTAATCGAGACACTTCCATTAGCTAAAAACGAATTGCGAGCACTACAAGCAAACCATCTATTCCATCGAAATCCTAAATCTCTTCCTCTGGAGTTTGGTTATAACATCAAAGCACCAAAAAGAACCATACATGGAAGATTTTACATCAATCTGAAATCTAATTACAGAATTTCATACACCCGAAAATTCGATTCTCTTCACCATGAAAAAAATTACCTGGATAGTGCTGCTGGATCCCATCTAGATGGAACAGATTTCTTGACATGGTCGTGAAGAACTAAAGGCGACGTGGTCAGATGCAAATAGTAAAGCGAAATGAAATAGCCATCAAAAGCCAAATACTTGGCTTCCCGAGCATCGTTTAACCAGGCTCCGCTCAAATCGAATATAGCATTCATATACCCCGACGGAACTTTTCCCTGTACGGACGATTTCTGATTGAGCAGCTCCGACATCTGACAAAATTATTTCACTCTCCACACATTAGAAAGTCGAACTTCAAACGCACGAAAATTGGAATACAACAGAGGGTGGGTATTAAACCTGGTTGAATTTGAGCACATCGGACTTGAAGCGAATGTGATCCCCTTTGTCGACACGTATACACTCAGGCACATCTGGTATGGATAGGCCTCCCGGAAGGACGACGTCTCGCTTGCTGTGGTGGTCTAGGAGAAGTAATCCTCCGCCGCCGCCGCCGCAAGGGCACCGCTTGACGAACTTGAGCCTGAAATCGCTGGCGAAGTCGAAGCCCTGGCCCAAGGCCCCGATCGCCCGAACCTCGACAGGCTTCTTCTCGTACTCGTCTTCCACCATGATTTCCGGTGACCGACGAAAACCAGGTTGAGTACGAAAATGGGATTAAGACTGGTTGTTCTTTATAAACTAGGAAGATTTAGCCGAGTGTTGACCACCAAATTCATTTTTCTTTGACTTTTTCTGTTGGCTAGGCTACTAGTCTTTGTTCCTTATTTTTTCCTTTACATAAGATTAGTTGAAAGATTATGACATATGATTTTTTTTTTTTTTTTGGAACGACAGATTCAATAAATAAAAATACATAATTGCAGTCGGATAAATAGCCAAAATATAAGGTCTACCCGAGATAGCCTATAAACCACAACACACACTACAACACAACAAGAAAAATAAAATCTCCCCACAAACGAATACACAAACTTCCAAGAATAGCACAACTCTCCACAGGAGAATAAACCACTCCTCAAAGAGGTTAAAACAAAACACAAGCTACGTGCCCGAACGGACCCAATAGAAAAAAAGAATCGACTCAATCCAGATCCAGGAACTGCAAACTACAAACGAGGTCTAACTAAACCCGGCCAAGCCAAGCCTCCTCCAATCGGAAGCCCGCAGACCTCACCATGAAATTTGGTCGGAGAGACCCCCTACACCAAACCGGCCAGAGAAGTCGGAAACCTCCCACCGGCATCCCAACCCCCCACCGTCGGGCCACCTGCCCCATCACCAGGAGACGGGATGGTCCAGGGGATATACATCACCGCGAAACTCAGCCGACGTCCGCCCAAGGATAGCGAAACGGCGACAACAACCACGAGCCACCCACCCACGTCGGGTCCCTAGTGAAGAACCGCCAATGCCACTAGGACTGGGGAAAAAGCTCGCCGATTGCAGGGATTGTCGGGGAAGTAAACTCGCCAGTCCCCCAGTATTGTCATGGCCGTGGCAAGCCGACGCCTGCGAAGGGGAAGAGGCGGCAAAATTGACGGGGGAGCTTTTAGTGTTTACGAGGGAAATTTTAGAGAGAGAGGTTTTCTATTATGTGGTATTTAATATTAGACATATGGTGACTAATATCAAAAGAATTTGTGATGTTTTGATTGTACTTGCTACCAATTCTTTGTGAAATTAATTGCTTTTGACTAATTGAATTATTTTGATAGGTGGAAAGAGAAATAAAATATCTACAAGTAATGCGATGAAAAGGATAAAGAAAACTTTGAACACAAGTTATTAAAGCAATAGAAGAATTGCTTAATAGTTCAAAAGAATCAAAATATGTATGTATCAGCAAAATTAAAATTGCTATTGGAAAAGAACAAATGTGTTTGAAGAAAACAGTAGTCAACTCAAGTTCTGATAATCACATTTGTGTGCGCACACCATTGTTGTCCTACTTGGCTAGCTCTATTTTACTTGCGAAACTTGTTATTGCCTAAATAATAGTCAAACAAGATGAATTGATGACCGAGTTTGCCGCAACTTTAGTAGATGGAGAACCATTATTTGCAACTTCTCCTTTTGAAGCAAAATTTACAAGTTCTTTTATCATGACCAAAGTTATATGAAAATCGAATCGGTCATCGAACCGGTAGAGGTACTGGTTCACTGATCTGACATGTAGTTGAACCGATTGAACCGGTCATTCATTAACTACTTATATTTTCTATTTATTTTTATATATGACAACTACTATTAACATATCATAAAGTCACATTAAATAATTTTATAATCTAAACCTTGTCTTTCAACTATTATTTTTTTTTGTTTTAACTTATTAAGCAATTTTTTTTATTAACATTAATTATTTTTATGATGTAACCAAATCTTTTAAAATTTCGTAAACAATTGCTATAACTAATCAATTGTTCAAAATCAACAAAAATTGCAAACATTATATTATTACAGTCGATATAAAGATTAATATGCATGTTAATATGGAATGTTCAGGGGGCAGCCTCAAAGGCGTTTCGTCTTGCTTTCTGTTCTATGGTGCAACAAAATACTCCACATGCAGTTGCTCTGTTAGAGTCGCGCATAAGCGGGACTGGTGCAGATACCTTTATTCACAGAAGTAGGTTTGATTTTTCCTTTCGGGTAGAAGCTTTGGGTTTCTCTGGGGGGCATTTGGCTTCTTTGGAACGAGGGAGTGAATGTTCGTATTCTTCGGTGTGGTCGGCAGTTTATACATGTTCGCATTACCACGGGGCAGGAGACATGTACGACCACCTTTGTCTACGCCTCGCCAAACCCTGTGAGACGTCACCGGCTATGGACGGAGCTGGATAACCTGGCGGCTTTGACTCGCGGACCGTGGGTCATCGGGGGAGACTTCAATTGTCTTCTACGTCGTTCTGAGAAAATTGGAGGATCTAATGATAGATGCAATATTAGCAGCGGGTTTCGTGATTGAATTCACACCAATCAATTATGTGAGATTAATGCCATGGACAACAACTTTACGTGGACTCGGGGTGGTGTCTTTGAAAAACTCGACAGATTTATTGTTAACACGGCGTGGCTCAACAAGTACATGGAGGGAAGACTATTATATCTGCCACGTATCCAGTCCGACCATTCGCCCATACAATTCACCTTTGGGCAACCTCCAGGTAGCCCGGGAGGTCGAAAACCATTTCGGTTTGTGGCTTCTTGGCTACTTCATGACGACTTTCCCCGTCTTCTCGAGGAAGTGTGGCGACGAGAGATCCCGTTCGAGGAAGCTGCATCTCATTTCGTTGTGAAGGCCCATGAATGGAACGTTAATATTTTTGGTAATATCTTTCAAAGGAAAAAGCGGCTGATGGCAAGGATAGCGGGTATCCAGAAATCCTATCATTTTTACTTCAAAGAGAGTTTGGTGGCATTAGAGAAAACCCTTCGTCAGGAGTTGGATGAGGTCCTGGTGCAAGAAGAATTGTTACTCCTTCAAAAATCCAATCGCGACTGGACTTTATTTGGTGATAGGAATACAACCTTTTTTCATCGCCAAGTGCGTGCCCGTCGGGCCCGCGGCCGTGTTCTCTCGCTCCGTGATAGTAATAGGAACCTGATGGAAGATCAAATGGCATTGCGGGACATGGCGGTGTCCTATTTTCGAGATATTTTTTCGGCCGAATTAGGCCCTACTTACGTACGGGTTGCTCGCAATATTTTCCCCACGCTGGACCCAACACGCACGGCTTTCATGGCGCGTGACATAGGTGAATCTGAAATTGTAGCCGCCTTGAAAGTCATGGGCCCTCTTAAAGCTCCGGGCAGTGATGGTCTGAACGCGCTATTTTTCCAGAAGAATTAGGAGACGGTGGGGCGATCAGTATGCGACCTTTTCCGTCGAATTTGGGTTGGCGAACCTCTACCTTCCAAATTGAATCGATCCTTGTTAGTTCTTATTCCTAAGGCGGCCACCCCTTCCACTATCAAACAATTCAGACCAATTAGTCTCATTAACGTGGCTTACAAATTATTTACAAAGGTGTTGGTGAATAGAATGAAGACGGTACTTCCGGACATCATCCACCCCGCACAAGCCTCATTTGTACCCGGGCGCCACATCACCGATAACATTATAGTAGCCCAGGAGCTCATTCATTCGATGAGGATGAGGCGGACTGGGACGGGACACATGGTCATTAAGGTAGATTTGGAAAAAGCGTATGACTTCTTACGTTGGGACTTTATCCAGGAAACACTTTTATTCGCAGGCTTCCCGGAGAAGCTAGTTCGGACTATAATGACCTGCGTGAGTTCCAGTTCAATGAATTTACTTTGGAATGGGGAAGAGTGCGGACCTTTTTCACCGACACGAGGGATCCGGCAAGGTGACCCAATTTCTCCGTACTTATTTGTTCTTTGTATGGAACGTCTAGCCCAACAAGTTGAACTTGTTGTACAACGTGCGGAATGGAGGCCGATCTCTGTGGGTCGCGGGGCAATTAACATACCGTTTCTTATGTTCGCCGACGACTTGGTATTGTTTATGGAGGCATCTGTAGAGCAAGTCGATATTTTACAAGGAGTGTTGGAGGCTTTCTATTCGTCTTCGGGGCTACGAGTGAGCTCGGCTAAAACACAAGTCTTTTTCTCCGCCTCTGTAGATGAAAACCAGCGCCGGGATATTTCTTCACGACTGGGGTACTCACGGGTAGAGGACCTTGGTCAGTACTTGGGGATGCCTCTGATTCACAAGAGAGTTACGTCTGCTACGTACGCGGGGCTCTTGGAGAAGGCGAAAAAAAACTGGCGGGGTGGAAGACAACGTTACTCTCGGCGGCGGGACGATTAACACTGACTCGGTCAGTCCTTTGCTCGCTACCTTATTATGCCATGCAAACTGTGGCCTTACCCGTGACTATTTGCAATAGAATCGATCAATGTGGCCGTTCATTTATTTGGGGTAGTTCGTCGGAGCATCGTAAGCCTCATTTGGTGTCATGGTCGGATATTTGCAAACCAAGTGATTGTGGGGGCCTCGGACTCAAACAATCGAGAATTATGAATGAAGCGCTTTTAATGAAACTCGGTTGGACGATTCTTGTGAAGCCAAAGTTTTATGTGCTAAGTATAAATTGCGTCCTGCGATGATGCCTGGTGATTTTTCCTTTCCCAATGGATTGGTGTGCCCAATAGCTAAAATATGGCCACATGTCCGACGAGGTGTGCGGTGGTCATTGGGGAATGGAAAGCAAACACGTTTTTGGCTGGATGTGTGGACAAACATGGCAGAGCCTTTAATCAACATGGCAACTAGGCGGGTACCGGAGGAGAGCCTTCATGCTCCGGTGGCGGACTTCGTTACAGCGACGGGCGATTGGTGGTGGGAAAAATTCAAAAGGTTATTGCCGTCCAATGCCCTGCTACTAATAGCGGATGTGTTACCTCCACGTACAGCAGTGGGCACAGATAAAATAAACTGGGGATACACGCCAACTGGCGTGTTCTCGACAAAATCCGCATACGAGGCCTTGACGATGAAGAAACCGGAGTGCGCCAACCCACTGTGGCGGATTATTTGGAAAACGTCGGTATCCCAACGTGTACGCCACTTCCTTTGGCTGGTTGTCCGGGAGCGATTGTTTACCAACAAGGAACGAGCTCGACGACACTTGACGGAGACTGATTCATGTTTTTCAGTGGCCAACCCGAGTCGCTAACCCATGTACTCTGGGACTGTGCGAACGCGACAACTATTTAGAACGAGATCCTCCCTAGCTCGATCAGCCGTACGTTTTTTAATCATGAAGCTGGCGATTGGATTTGGAATAATCTGGTAGAGTCTTCGACGGCTGGGATAGAAGGCTGGGCCATCATTTTTTCCATAACATGTTGGCGCCTTTGGTATTGGAGGAATTTAGCTATATTCTCGAACAAGACTTTTCCTGTTGGAACCAAGGTGCAAGATATAAGGCGTCAAGTAGACCAGTACTCAAACAGTAAGAATTGGGAAGCTAAATTAGGAATTAGGAACCATCGATATGAGGAATTTATGATTCACTGGTCTCTCCCACCGGCGGAATGGATTAAAGTTAATACGGATGGGGCTCTCTGCACTTCGACCGGTCGAGGTA